AATTATAAAATGATAAATATAAATTATTTAAAATAATGTAGAACTACATTTCTATATATAAAATAATATATTTGTACTATAAGACAGTATTAACGTATCATACATCAAACAGTTTTAAACAGTAAAAAAAAGAATACAACATGATACACAAATAGGAAAGTATATATTTTACTCTATATATAAAAAATTATTATGAAGAATATTTTCCTTATAATTAACATAAATAATATAATATATATATAAGAATATATAAATTTTCAAAACACATATGGGTATACATATCATTATAATATAAATGTAATAAAAAATATATATATTATTATGTGTAATCCAAATATATATAACAAATATTATAATTCAAAAACTAGTTTCTAAAACAAAAAATCTTAAAAATATAGAAAAAATCCTAATAAAATATATACAAATATACTAACTTAAAGGTATATATAAAATCCTACCCCTAAAACTCTATATATTAATACAACAATTCAAATTGACGAAACCTAAAAAATGAACCCAAAACATGTACTATTATGATTATATAAGTAACAGTTTCCCATACATAGTATCTATTATATATTAATCATTTTTGTTGTTGTATTATGTTTTAACCACTTTATGTACTTTTTAAAATTTTTATTTAGTTAACACTTCTTTGCAAAAAGTACAATATTCCTTTAAATTCATATTATGTTTCCTTGCTTTTAAACGATCATGTTTAACAACCTTAATCATTATGTAAATTATGGATACTAAAATTGCAAAAGAAAGTGATATAAAAAAGGTAGAATAAGTATTTAAAACTGGATCTGGTAATTCCATAACTCTCAAAATACTATGACCAGTTTTACTATTCCCCATAATCCTATCAAAAACTGCAAAAATCATTCCAGTTAATTCAAATAGACAAAGTAGAATACCATATAATATATATTTTTTACACATTTCTTTTTTTAAAATCGTATTTTCTCCATTGGCATTTCTTGCAATTTTATCTATTTTATCAATTTTATCGAATATATATTTTTCACAGTAACTGTCAAATTTTCCTATTCCTCTCTTACTATAATATCTTTGCTTATAGTACTTCATATAAGTGTCCAAATCTTTTATTCCATCCTTTTTTAGTATTTCTTTATATTTTAGCATATCTTTCTCTCTCTTTTTCTTAATTTCCAATTTTTTTTCCTTGGCTAATTCTTTTTCTCTCATTTCAGGTGTTTTATTTTTATCTAAGAAATCAAATTTCCCGATAATATATAATATTTGTGACAAACATATAACCATTATAGTAAGAAATGCTACATTATTTAACTCTGTATATTTACCGTACAGATTTGAATTGCATTTATGTGTTAAAATAATAACTAAAGAATTATTTGTGGATTCAAGAGCAATCTCTTTTATTCTTTTCCCAGTATAATCACACAATATGGAAGCAATATTATTACTTAATGGAATAGCATGCAATTTAGGGTAATCATTAAATATGGCTCTTTCTAATGTTTTATTCGATATTTCTGTTTTTACTACATGTTTATTAAACTTTTCAGGTTTATCTATTAATAATCCATTAACACAATCATCCAGTAATTCCATATCATTATATATAGAGACTATTTTATGCGAACCATTGTTTATAGTATATTTTGGGTTAAAAAGTTTTAAATTAACTTTTAAAGCTTCTTGTTTATATTTTCCTTGGAATATATTTTTAGCCAGTAAGCGTTCTTTTCTTGTAATAAAAGTATTATCAGTATTGAATATGTTAAAAAAATATTTAGATAATATGCGCTAAGATATAAAATATATTTATATAATTAAATATATAGTTAAATATAAGGGTCAAATTTTTTTTACATATATATAATATTAGATAAAATCTACAATATTCATATATATAATTAATATACTTCATCATAATAATGGTGGTATATACATAAGAGAATTATGAATACAATAATTTTAATAGATATTATAAATTTATTTTTTCCCTTCATATTATATATATATTTCCATGCTATAAATGAGTTAAAATTTTATATTTCATACAAGATAAAAGAATAATAATTGTATAATATATTAATATATATTAAACTCAATTTACTATATTAAATAATAGTTAAAATTACACATTTGTTTTGTATATTAATATTTTTATTGAAACAATATAAATTACAAGGTTATTGTGAATTAAGTAATGAAAACATCTTATATATATAAATTACTATATAGATTATTTTCTGATGAATTTTAAAATTATTTACATTTCCATTAATACAAGAAAATAAAAAAATACAGAAGGAAGAATTATTTAATATATTCAAACATAAGAAAAAAAATTCATATATATAAATAATATATTATGGATAATTTAATTTATTCATAATAGAATCAAAAATGTCTTATGGTATGCTTTTTATTTTTATTTATTAAAATAAGTTTACTCATTTTACTATAAGAGTTTATTAGGATAATAATTTATGAATATCAATTTTTAGAACACAAAAAATATATCTTATTATATAAAGAATATTGATGTGCGAACATTAAATTTCTTAACTTTTAATTTCATATGTTCTAACGCATTTTATCTTCACATATAATGATTAGTACGATTAGTATGTTACATATGTATAATTATTTAATTTCAGTATAATATTACATCAATTGTACCTACATGACTAGTGTAACTTTGTGTATATTTAAATAATTTATAAATATATATATGCTATATTCTCTTATGCAAACTATATTAGAAAAATGAAATAATTTGTATGAATGTTCTTATTATATTGACATTATCACACGTGCATTAATAATATTATACTCAATGTCTTAATTATGTAAAAATATAAGATTTGGAATGGAAAATTATATTTTTATGAGTTTTAGTGTTCGCTGCATAAAAAAAACTTTTATCTAAATAAAATTTTAATTCTATTGATATGCATAATGATAATTTATACGAATTCGATTAAAATCCCATAATTATTATTTAAAAAAGACCTAATACAAATTAACAACTGAAACGATTTTATTTACCAATGTAGATTAATCTTAAAATAGAACATGTATATATTTTAATCCCTTTATTAAAGTATTCCTAAAGCATTAATTTTAGAACATAATGAATTCATTTTCTTTTTTATTATATATTATTCAATTATAGTTTTAGATTTAACGTCTTATATATATAATATTTATATTTTTAATGAATATTATTTCTATGTTATTATGCAATGAATAATCCAAATAAAAATTTTTGAATGTGAAATAAAATTATTGCAGGCATATTTATTACATTGTATATATAAAAATGTCTAACATTTGAAAATTTTTAAGATGATTTGTTCTCATAAAAATTTTTTATTTAATAACCATTAATTTTTTTACTTATACTTTTTAATAAAATTCAAAAACATATATGCAAAATTTCTTTTATTTAACATCATTTGTCAAAAGATACACATTTAGTGTAAAATTTATTGAGTACATAAATTATTTTATCATCAAAATATAAAAAAATCATAAAATAATTAATTTTGTTATATTTATTAAACTTGTTATTTGATTCATAAATTATATAAGAATTAAATGATATAATTTATTAATAATGCATATTTTTTTCATCGATATATATTTTATTTTAAATGGATTTCGTTTATTTAAATATGGTTTTAATTTTAATTGTTACATGTAAGAAGTAAATTTTTATTTATTATAACAATTCTTACATTAATGATTTTGATAAAAATCTAAATTATCCAATGATTCAATGTATATCAGAATAAATTTATGATATAAACTCAATTTGGTATGAAGAATTGATATATATATAATCATTCTTTTTTTTTATTAATTTTTTATAATTAAAAAAAAAAATTCAAAACAAATACACAAGTTTACATAATATATATTTTATAGTATTTATATTTTGTGCTCAAAAAATGTGAACTGAATAATTAAAAGTAAAAATATATATATGTATACCCAAATAAATTAGGAGAAACCAAATTATATATGCGTGTACGAAAACACGAGAATACTGTACACAACTATATCAATTTTTTTTCTCTAGTTCTTGAGATAATTTTGGAA